GTTCCCAGGCCAGCTCCCAAAAGCCCATTCAATTCATGATATATCATGGCAATAGTAACAGTGACCAATAGACACCAGGCCCCTGTATAATCTGTTTCTATGGTAAACTTCCTCTTGAGCCCCAGAAATATTTCCACCTTGTCATTTCCTCCCCACACGTCCCACCTCTAATAAATATGCTTCCCTAGAAACAGAGGCAGGGACTCCCTCTTGCTGTCTGCTGGGGCCATGGCAGCAGAAGGCCCACCTGTCACCTGGGACGAAAAGGAGAGCAGTCAGGCACGCTCTAGCCCTCTATGCGGGAAGAAAATGAATATATATTTATTTATGTATGTATTTTGAGACGAAATCTAGCTCCGTCACCCAGGCTAGAGTGCAGTGGCACGATCTCGGCTCACTGCAACCTCTGCATCCCGGGTTCAAGCCATTCTCCTGCTTCAGCCTCCTGAGTAGCTGGGATTACAGGCGCCTGCACCACACCCAGCTAATTTTTGCATTTTTAGTAGAGATGGAGTTTGACCATGTTGGCCAAGCTGCTCTTGAACTCCTGACCTCAGGTGATCCGCCTGCCTCTGCCTCCCAAAGTGTTGTGATTAGAGGCATGAGCCACCATACCCAGCCAGAAAATGAATATTTATTATGTAACCACTGTGTGCTAGACACTGTGCCTGGTCTGTCTCATACCTTACCTATTTTGCTGCTCCTAACAATCCAGTGAGGTGTGTATTATTGTTAGGAAATGAAAATGCCCCCCACCCAATAATTTACAGAGCTGAGATACAAATCTGTAAACTAGTGCACTGTTCATTATAACTCAGTGACACGCCGGCAGAACCAGTTCTTTATAAGAGACCTATAAAAGTCAAGTGTGGGTAGGCACTTTGGACATTGCCCTGAGATTCAATAAGATCTGTCATGGAATCCCTTATTAGAAGGGCACTGATCACCTTTGTGTCTGCAGTGCCTAGCACAGCGCTGGAAGCATGGTAAATTCCCAATAAAAGTTTGTTTTATTAATATGAAACATTATTGTTGGCTCTGTTCCACTTCCTAAGATAGAAAATTGGAATCATTTACTTTAGAGAATTTTCAACAGCAAATACTGAAACAAGAGAAATGTCTTCTCATTAACCTTCAGTTGATTAGGAAATTCAAATAACTAAGGTGCTGTAAGGATAGTTCCTAGTTTACAAGTCATCCATTAATGTGAGCAAATTGAAGGCAAGTCCATTGTGAGAACAGTTTGGCAGGCTCCGGAACCTAACCACCCTGTGGAGCACTGGCAACATCTTCATAGGGATAAACCTGTTGCCAGCTCCAAGTAACCAACTTTCAAGCCAATTCTTGGAACGCAAACTAAAAGTTGGAGACAATGAACTATTCCCCTAATGTAAACATACTCTGCGGTTAGTATCTTCTTTCAGTAACTCTAAATTGTTAAGGGATAAAAAGAGTCCATTTGTGTCAGCTGTAAAGGAGCATGGCATCCAATATCAACTAACATTTATTTGACTTTTACAGTGTGACACTCTCTCTCCTAGGGGCTCCAAGTGCATTAGTTTATTGCACTCTCACCACATTGGTATGCTAGCTATGATTATTATCTCCATGTTTACACAAAGCTAAGACTGAAAGAAATGAAGTTACTAGTGAGTATTGGAACTGGTATCAGAACCCAGGTCTGGCTGATCCCAAGGCCCTCTATAGGCCACCTCTCTTGAGACACAAATGTTATTTGCTTCTTGATTCTATGGGAAACCAGAGGAGACTGATTCTGCAGACAGCCCATCTGAGCCCATCCACTCATAAGATCAGCAGGTCAAAACCTGCTGTTAGGACCTAGGACTGATCCCTGGAATGGGCAAAGGCAAAGCCATTCTTGACCTTGACAAGAGCTACTCTGGCAGAGTGAGGTAGAAACCTGTTTAAGCTGCTTGTAAGAGCAAAATGAAGAATGGGTGCTATCACTGTAGATAATTATTTTAATGAATTCTGTTGTAAAGGGGAGCTGAGAATTGGAGTAATGGCTGGAGATATGTAGAGTCACGAAAGGATTTTTAAAAAGACAAGATCATAGTGGTATGTCTGTATACTGATGGGAGTGATCAAGGACAGAAGAAAATACTAATCCAGGTGGGAAGAGGGAAAAGCCACATGAATGGGATCTGATTCATACTGGAGGCCATAATGGCCTTAGATGATTCATCCATAGCAACAGGAGAGCAGGAGGGTAAATAAACAGGCAAATGCAGAGTGGTTGCTGGGCTGCGCTAGCTCCGTTTGATTTTAGTGGTCATGAATTGAAAATAAGACCAGACAGCATAATTTTGTGGGTTTTTTTTTTTTGAGACGGAGTCTTGCTCTGTCACCCAGGCTGGACTGCAATGGCGTGATCTCAGCTCACTGCAACCTCTGCCTCCTGGGTTCAAGCGATTCTCCTGCCTCAGCCTCCTGAGTAGCTGGGATTACAGGCATGCGCCACCACGCTTGGCTAATTTTTGTATTTTTAGTAGAGATGGGTTTTCGCCATGTTGGCCAGACTGGTCTCAAACTCCTGACCTCAGGTGATCTGACCACCGCGGCCTCCCAAAGTGCTGGGAATACAGACGTGAGCCACCACACCCAGCCAATTTTGTGCTTCTTCCGTCATGTTTAGCTGGGTGTAGATGGGAAGAAGGTGGAGTTATATTTTACTAGGGTTGTGATTTTACCAGGTAAATAGCACGGAAAGAGAGCGGAACATGGATTTGAAGGTGTAAGTAAGACAGAAATAATAATGAAACTGGAAACTAAAGTCCATAAGGAAGGAAGGAGGGTCATGAGGAGAGTGAGGGGCAGAGAAAAGGTCATGGATAAGTAAATTATAGATGCTGGTGGGGTCAAGGACACATTGGATTAAAATAACAGAGGGGATGAGCTGGAAAGGTAGGAGAGTGGATTGCTTCACATTGATATTATGCATGGTGTCGCCATGACAGCAGGGGGCTGGTGTGGTTGCAGCAGGTCAAGAAAGGGATAGGATGCAGAAGAGTTGAGAGATTAGAGTGTGACTATGTAGACGGAGAAAAATAAGAATAATCACAGGAATGATACTGGGAAAAGTGACAGTGAATCAGATGCCATTATCTTCAAGAAATGAGGTGGAACAACCAGAGGATCCATAGATGGCTGAAATAAGTAGAAGAGGCAAGTAATGCAGCCTGTTATTTTCAAGGAAAGCCAGGTATGGGTCAGAGCAAGTCACTGAAAGAAACATTCAGAGAGGAGGCTGAGGACATATAGATTTTGCTAGTAATGAACCATGAGTTCCAGAGGACAAATGGGAGGATTCTAGGAGGTGGGAGGTGATGGAGTGATGAGTGCAAACCTTCACCCAAACATATTTAATTCCTGGATTTGGGAGCTCAGATTACAAGAAGCAGGAAAAAGAAGAGGTTGGAGAGAGAGGCTCAGCAGCTCAAGCATGCTGCCTTGCTGGGGAAGGACAGCCCCGCCCCTGCTTCCCTAGGCTCGGTGAGCAATGCTGGCTGAAGGGGCTTTCTGTCCTTCGTGGTGATTTGTAAACCAAAAACTGACAGTGGAAAAGCCTGAGATGGCTGAGTGTTTACAGGATGAGAGCACACTGGCTCAGATCGGGGCCCTTAGGCTGCTGCAGCTGGTGCTCTGATCACTTTGAGTCCATAGAAGGCCCCCAGGAGGCTGCTCAGACTGTTGACCCTCCAATAGTCCTCCAAGGATGGAGAAAGGACATTTCCATACTTGCTTCTTCCTTCCCACTGACCCCGTTATGGGTCAGCAGCTGCAGGGCTCTCTCTGGAGCACATCCCAAGTCCAGCACCTTTGCCCCCTTAATGCAGAGCAGTCACAGTCAGGCCTGGGGACTAGGGGGAGATACATAACACATCTGTCCAAGTTATCAGGCCACTGACTCAGAGAGGGAGGTTCTCACAGTGTTACATTAATTACTTCAGAATTTACAGCTCTCAGAGCATAACTACTGCTTTTACGTTCTGTATCTGAAAGCAGTCAATCTTTTACAGAGTAGAAGGAGCACTGCTCTTCTCTCCTCCCCGCCTTCTCCCTTACATACCCCTATCATAATGATGTCACGCATAAATTAGCAACTTCTCAGACTCGATTTCCCTACCTCTGCAATGGAGCTCACATTACTTTGCCCACTTGAGCCAGGTGATCTCTTGAAGAGTAGGAAATAATGTTGGACTGGAGTTGGAATTCTGGTTCCAACAGGAGGGGATTGGAGGGCATTTGGGGCTCCTCCTACCTTTCTGCAAGCTCTGAAAATCCTCCATCTCCTCAGGAGAAGCCACAGAACAAACGATTTCCCAAGCATCAGAGGAGGGCAGACATAACATAACAGAGCAGAGAATCGGGTTAGAACGGGTTATGCTCTGATTTTTTGGAAAATGGGCAAACTGGGCGGGGACTAGGGAGGATTCCGTCAGCCGGGAGTTGGGAGGCCGCGCACGCCGCTGCGGAGCGTGACGGCCACGGTCGCCTAGCAACGAGCGGGGATGCGCTGGGCGCCTGGGTGGGCGAGGGGTGCTCGCCGCCGCCGCCGCGCGCCCTCGAGCCTCCGGGACCGCGAGAAAACTTTGCGGCTCTTCCGCGCTGGGGCGTCGGCGCCAGGCCGGGCAGACAGAGCAATGCGCCCCCCGGGCTGAGGGCAGAGGATGCCGCCGCGGCCCAGCACCCGGCCCGGGGAGCCGCGGGGTGGCACGCGGGGAAAGTTGGCGCGCGCCTGACCGCGCCTGGAAGCCGCGCGGTGCCCGGGCCGAGTTGCCCCCCAAGTTTCTGCGGCGATTTCTCACTCCCTGGGGATCCAGCGGTCCGAATCCCGCGGGGCCTACGGCTCACGGATTCTGAGCGCTGGGAAGGAGAAGCCCGCGCTTTTCCCGGGGACCTGCGCTTAAGCTGATGCTTGGTGGGTTCGCCCTGGATGGTAGCGATTCGAGTTGTTTTCTGCTTTTCTTCTCCCTCAGACAGTGAGTTTGTGGAAGCCTCGCCCGCATCGTACAGCCCAGACGAGTTAGGTAAGTGTGCTCCTTTTGTCTTTTATTTCTTGGTCGTAATTCTGCCCGAGAACTGCGAGTTTGGGGGGCGTCCAGATGAACTCAGCTAGAGATGGGGGTGGGGTTGGGGGACGGAGGAAAAGGGTCAGGGCACACCTGCTGCCTTCGCGGCGGGAACTGGCCTTTCCTTGGCGCTGTGCTTTCGGGGTGGCGGGGCAAGTGCCCAATTAGCCGTGAGTGTGTGTGTGTGTTCACGCGCGCGCGTGTGCGTGTATCTGTGTGCACGCGCGTGTGTGTGTGTCTGTGTGCGTGTGTGTGTGTCTGTCTGGGTCAGTGATGCTGCTCCGAGGAGCCTGGCACAGCAAACTTCCAGACCTGGGGCTTCTGTAACCTGCACTCATCTTGCCGGAAGAACACAGCGGCGACTGGTTCTGTCTTGCCAAGTACCTGGCACGAGAAGGACGTCGTGTGGGTCGTCCTTACCCTGAATTTAATGAAGTCAGGGGCTGAAAACGGCGGTGTAATTATTAAACTATAAGACCTGCTTCCTTCCCTGATTTCTATTCCTCAGTTAGCCTGTAGGTGTCTCGAGATAGGACATTCCATCCTCATGCCTGTCATGGTAAGTGGAGATTTGTGATGGGTGAACCGGGACACTCTTGTCAAGAGACAGGCTGAAGAGAGAGTGAAGAGAAAGAAATGCGAATGGGCAGATCTCTCTAACTCTTCCCGCCACCCATTCTTACTCGGTGGCTTAGTGATTGGGTTCTTCTCTCTCTCTCTCTTTTTTTTTTTTTCCTTCTGCTTTCAAGGTTAGTTTAGCTGCTACTGGTCTGGGCTATCAAGTCTCTCCTTACTGTTCTTTCATCACTAGCCTGAATATCTTGCCTTCCTAAGATGAAATGAAAGGATTTATTTTATGATATATGTTGACAGTAAAGGAGGAGGGGAACTGTCCACAAACAGTGGTTTAAATATGTTTATCCTCAGTAACACGCTCAACTGTGGCACCCTGTCCCTGGTCAGCCTCTTGTGCTGGGAAGAATGTCCTCATCAAGTCCCACAGGACCTGAAGCAAAATTCCACCTCAACAACGACTTTCATTCATTTTTAGGAGCCAAGCGCCCAAAATAAATCTGGATCAAGGTTGGCATTCTGTGGCAGGGAGGAGTACCATGTTTTATTCAGAGGATGTGTTTCTGACAAGTTGCGAGGCAATCACATCTCTATCAATGGAATCGCAAACTAAATGCATGAGCAAAACTAGCTTTTAAGACATACTGTGGTGAATCATTTTATGAAATGAAAGTGACATCTAAGCCAAAGCTTTGCATGATGTGATTTATTAAGAGGGCAGGTACTTGATGATCTGCTCCACGCATGTATAATTGTATGTTAATGACACCAGCATTGACACTCCACAGTGCGACGAAGCCATTTGGTCCTCTTAAATCGTACACAAACATAAGCAGTGGTAGGATGAGCATTGCTTGCTCTGAGAAATCCGACTATATTACTACTAAATTGTTTGCATTCACGGAATGATTTGTGCTGCAGGAAGGCCCAGGTATTTGACCCTTTTTCATCTCCCTATCTCCCTCTGGGACTTACAAACTGAACTGCTCCCATGAGGCACTGATAAATATGGGTATCCTTTCAAATTGGTAGTACAAAATAAAAAGCAATGTTTTTTTCTCTTCAGCTCCCCTATGGTAAAAACCCAGTTTCTCATGAGGAGATTGGAGTGTGTGTCTTAGTCTATTTGGGTTGTTATATCAAAAACAGATTGGGTAGTTTGTAAACAACAGAAATTTATTTCTCACAAGTTCTGGAGGCTGGGAATTCCATGACCAAGAAACTGGCAGGTTCAGTGTCTGGTGAGGGTCGGCTTCCTGGTTCATAGATGGCTATCTTCTCACTGTGTCCTCAACATGGCAGAAGAGGGCCAGGGAGCTCTTGCTGTCTCTTTTCTAAGGGCACTAATCCCTCCGGTGAGAGCTCCACCCTTATGACCTAATCACTTCCCAAAGGCCTTACCTCCAAATACCATCACATTGAGGATTAGGTTTCAACACATGAATTTTGAGGGATATAAATATTCAGTCTTTAGCAGCATGATGAGAACCGTGGGGTTCCCTTCTGGGTTCTGGGCTTGCAGGGTGATACAGAAAATAAAACAGAAGTCTGAGAGTTTGAGATCAAGGTTCTAGCTTTCACCCTGCGCCAGCTTCTTTTTTTTTTTTTTTTTGAGACGGAGTTTCGCTCTGTCGCCCAGGCTGGAGTGCAGTGGCCAGATCTCAGCTCACTACAAGCTCCGCCTCCCGGGTTCACGCCATTCTCCTGCCTCAGCCTCCCAAGTAGCTGGGACTACAGGCGCCCGCCACCTTGCCCGGCTAGTTTTTTGTACTTTTTAGTAGAGACGGGGTTTCACCATATTAACCAGGATGGTCTCGATCTCCTGACCTCGTGATCCGCCCGTCTCGGCCTCCCAAAGTGCTGGGATTACAGGCTTGAGCCACCGCGCCCGGCCATTGCGCCAGCTTCTTTAATAGACATGTTAACTAGCCTCAGTTTCCTTATCTGCAAAAAGCAGGGGTTGTGCCTGGTGATCCCTGAGGTGTCTTCCAGTTCTATTCTCGCCTCTTAAAGTGCTGTGAGGGGCTGTAAGCCAAAGGAGGCCTATGGCCATTGGGTATTCATTGTTTATATTCATGTGCCATGCTGTTTGGGTACATGGTGTCCCCAAGGGTTATTCTCTCCATGACAGAGCAGCTGTCTGGATCAGACTGCCTTGTTTTCATGCTATTCAGGTCAAAGACAGAGCTGTCATTTCTCCCTTGGAAAGAGTCATGATGGCTTTTTGGTGCTTTTCTTAGACACACAGCAGGAAAAATGCCTCTTACAGCAGTTGATGAGCTTGTCAAGCAGCCATTCTTTCTGGAGCACAGATGAGTACAGGTTCACTCCTGGCCAGAACATAAGAAGAGGCAGAGCAAAGTTAAAATAAAATTGTTTCTCTACTCACTTCTTTTTTGTTTTTGTGGCAGAGTCTCGCTCTGTCACCCAGGTGGGAGTGCAGTGGCATGATCTCAGCTCACTGCAACCTCCATCTCCTAGGTTCAACCTATTCTCCTGCCTCAGCCTCCTGAGTAGCTGGGATTACAGGTGCCCACCACCATGCCCAGCTAATTTTTGGAAATTTAGTAGAGACGGGGTTTTGCCATGTTAGCCAGGCTGGTCTGGAACTGCTAACCTCAGGTGATCTGCCCCCCACTCTGTCGGCCTCCCAAAGTGCTGGGATTACAGGCGTGAGCCACTGTGCCTGGCCTGTACTCACAATACTTCTGGAGCCCAATGTGTGGATTTTCTACACCAAGTAATTCTTCAGTATTTTGCAGCCACCAACCAGATGTCCTACAATTTAATTAAATTTTACCACTACCCAGAGTTAGCACAGGTCCTATAGGTTAAGGGCTCAGTCCTGCGAGACCACCTACCACTTCAGATATCAACTGTAAGTGGTGAGCCCACGTATTACCCACACTTATGTCTAACTTGGCTACAAATCAGGGCTTCCTACAACCTTCTTTTGGTTTCTATAATTTACTTTAATAGCTGAGAGAACTCAAGGAAGCACTATACTTATGTTTACCAGGTTATTATAAAGGATATAAATGAACAGCTGGATGAGGAGATGCAAAGGGTGAAGTCTGGAAGGGTCCAAAGCACAGGAGCTTCTGTCCTTTTAGAATTGGGGTGCACCACCCTCCTGGCACATGGATAGGTTCACTAACTCAGAAACTCTCCATACCCCCTCATTTAGGGTTTTTATGGATGTTCCATTAGGCATGATTGATTGAATCATTGGCCATTGGTGATTAAGTCAATCCCCAGTCCCTTTCCCCTCCCCAGAGGTCAGGTGTGTGTGTGGCAGGGTGCAGGGAAAGGGGGTGGGGAAGTGGGGAGAGTAGGTGGGTGGGGCTTGAAATTCCAACCTTTTTTTTTTTTCCCTCAATGTAATTTTTTTTTAATGTATATCTGTAAGCACTATTTATTTCTGCACCTACAATGGTTCCTGGATTCTAAACAGTCATGGAGTTTAAGTTTGTAACATTGGTTTACTAACAACTTTTCAGAGAGCAGAAGATGAAATTTTTCACTCCATGAAATATCCCATGTTCTATGAGTAGGCACATGTAAAGCACACATAACAGAACCTGGTACAAAGTAAGTGCAAGATGAAATACACAATATTCTGTGAGTCAGCACATGTAAAGTGCATGTAACAGAACCTGGTACAAAGTGAGTGCAAGATGAATGCTAGCTATTATGTCTATGATATTAAAATGTGAAAAGATGACACTTTAGAATTGAAGAAACACAGTTTTTAAAATCAATATTATAAAGTTACTTTTAGTGTTGATTTGTTGAAATTTATTCTCTTTATTCCAGGGAATGCTTTCCTTGGCTCTTGATCTTTGTTTTCCTTGACCTGCTAGCAAACTTTTATTATTATTATTATTATTATTATTATTATTGTACTTTAATTTCTAGGGTACATGTGCACAACATGCAGGTTTGTTACGTAGGTATACATGTGCCATGTTGGTTTGCTGCACCCGTTAACTTGTTATTTACATTAGGTATTTCTCCTAATGCTATCACTCCCCCATTCCCCAAACCCACGGCAGGCCCCGTTGTGTGATGTTCCCTGCCCTGTGTCCAAGTGTTCTCATTGAATTCCAACCTTTTAATAATATGGTTGGTTCTTCCCACAACCAGCCTCCATTCTGAAGCTGTCTAAGGACTTTCAGTCACCAGTTATCTCATTAGCATAAACTCAGGTATGGTTAAAAGGTACTTGTTATGAATAAAAAAAAGGTGCTCCTGTTACCTCTATCACTCAGGAAATTTCAAGGGTTTTAGGAGCTCTGTGCTGAGAACCAGAGATGAAAACCAAATATATGTATATTTTTTATTATATTGTATCATCATAGAAGTCCTAAAATTTTAGTTTGAAT